GTGTGTGTGTGTGTGTGTGTGTGTGTGTGTGTGTGTGTGTGTGTGTGTGTGTGTGTGTGTGTGTGTGTGTGTGTGTGTGTGTCTAGCCAACAGATTATAGAGGGTACATATCTGCGAGTAGTAGCATCAGCATGGGTGCACAATCTGGCATTCAATAACCTTCAGATGTCTCATGTACATAAACATATAACACACACATGACCCACTAGAGAAGTGTAAAATTTAAGGGAGAACGGGCAAGTCCGTAGGACTTTTAATATCAGCTCATCCGGTGCGCAAGACTTACTTTCAACGTAGCCGTGGCCGCATACTGCATATCAGGTTCCGAGACACCCTTCTCGCGATGCATGGCAACCAATTGTGTGGGGTCGCCTCTGTGCTGCGATTCGTAGCTCTCTCCGAAGTAATCTAGACTCATGCTTTTGAGTGCCTGATGCAAGTCTTGTTTGAGATTCTGCATAATATGATTGGATGTGAGCTGCGCTAAAGTGGGTGCTCGATTTATGTGCATGCGTGTTCTTCTAGACGCAGTATCATCTATACAGTATGTGCGAGCTTTGACAAACAACGACAATGATGTTATCAATATTTGCACTGTGACGGTACTTTTCACATCCATGTTGAGGAACCAACATACGTGTAGCTATCGACGTTAAACAACTACTTAAAGCCGGTAAAACCCACTTACTACCGGTTGTTTTATTTTACAAGTTTCACACAATTCATTGATTCTAATACCCACTCTCACCATCCTTGCTATCAATTGTTACCACTTTACACCGGCCATCTCTAACCACCAACGTAGTGCCTGGATTATTGCAAAATAGCGAACCAAGATGCGTGCAACAGATTGTGCTTGCGTATTTCTTTGAATACGGAATCTGATGTTGCCAGTTTCTGCCCATACTTCAGACTTCTTGTGCCATTACTGGCATGTATGACAATCGAACCTACCCGTATCTTAGCAGTTAACCTCAAGTTGCCGCGCAAATCTGTAACCTCCAAGGGTATACTCATTATCTGGTACATCGCCGCTTTGACTGCTAGTCCCAAATCCCACTTGCTCCTCGTATTCATCGAGCCATAATCACTTTTGCTCAGTTTGGCCAGCACAGTTCCGAAATCGGCGCCTATAGAAATTAGAGTGCAGACAAGCCACATCGCCGATTACTTTGATTAGTGGGCGTAGCTTTTTTAAATATAGGGATAATATACCATAAAAATCAAATAATCATTCAATATACCATATAAAACAATTCCGATATACCGCTCATACACAAGCTACGTATAGAACCAGGGTATAGTAGTACACACCAGAGATGCAGTGTGAATGAGGGCTATCGCTCATAGTGATTGCTTGGTAGAGTGAGATTCTACTTTTGGTGACAGGAACTAATTGATCAGCAATTATAGTCCAAAATGATATTTACGTAGCCATACATCAGATCTAGCAAGACAAAAATTAAATCATCACTGTATGAGTTTCTCTTCAACAGACAAATTACCAAAATAAATTATTAATCGACCTTCAAGACATACCGTCAGTTGCTTGCCCTGCAGATCCAATATTTGTCTCAAGGCCTGATGATTTCTTCTTGCCTTCTCCAGAACTCTGATCAACTTTGACGTTTGACTCTGAGCCTATTAAGTGTGTTAAATTCGTTTCCTTTTGGTTGTCCGATTCCGACTCTTCCAATTCCAGCAGTTTTGATTTTTGGGCATCGTTCTCGATTTGAGTATCCTCGTTATTCTCTGCAATTGTTTCAGATCCCTTTGTGGAGTACATTGAACGTAAGGGTTTAAACTCGAATTTAAATTGTATTTATTCCTTTCCGGAAAGAAAAAATATATAAAAGCAGACAAGCGGTCAATTCGCGGCATTATACTTCGGTTTATATGTAAAATTGTCCATTGCAAGCATACATGGCTGTCCTTTGCGAGTCTAATGTAAATGTTCCAGATGGATACCTTGTGATCGTTCAGAAGTATGC